AGCTCCATGAACGTTGGCCAGCTCGTCTGGCACGATTGCAATGGAGACCAGGTCCTCGCCCATCTGCACAGCTTTGCCGTTGAGCGTTCGAACGATGGCGCCGACGTCTGCAGCTGATTGCACGTGCAACCGCGCCCGCCCAAGCGCCATGCCAGGATCGTCGTCGGCCAGGCGCCGCCACGTGCTTGGCACCAGCGACTCTGCGGAGCCCGCTGGTGAGAACGCCAAGCCAGTGTTGGACTGCAGGACTGCCATCAATGAGACCACCACCGTCCCAGGATCGTACCCCAATGACCCCTCGACGCGTATTTTCACCGATGCTGGGCCCGTCTGCGCTGTGGCTGGGCGAGCTGCTGCAGGGTGGCGCGCGGCCCGCAGCCGGGCTGGAGCGGCTGCTGGAGAGGCCCCAGGTCTGGCCGCCCGTTCTGGAAGGTCTCCGCTGCACCTTCGTGACCGCCGCTGCCTCGTCCTCGTTCCACGGACTCTCAATTGCGTCCTGCCAGATCGTCTGCTGAACTGTCGTGCGGACCTTGGCTAAACGGGACGATGGAAAGCACGCCTCGTCGCAGCGGTGCCAAACCTTGGATCAGGCCGACGGCGCCGTCGACTCGACCAGGAAGGCGGACTTGTCGCTGTAGATGGACTGGTTGGCGAGGATTACGCTCTAGTCCATGCTCTGCCTGAGGTCCCGTAGCCATACATGTCGTTCACTTCAAACCGTGTTCATTTCTAAATGTTCCCGGCCCCCCAGTGGCCAGGAAGAGGCCCAGGAGAAAACAACTAGAAATGAAAGGATCCAGGACCCCCCAACAATCAAAGAACTCGAATACTTAAAACATGAACAGTGTGTAGTTCCACTGCAAGTTCCGAGAGCCCGCGCGGCGGCAGGAGGAGCTCGGCGCGCGAGAGCGGGGCGCGTCTGGGAGCGAGCCTGGGCCGCGGGAGGGTCTGCCCAGTCTGGCGACGAAGGAATTGCCAGACTCCAGGATCGTCTGGACGGTCTGTGTGAAGGGGGGCCCTGGGACACACAAGTAAATACACACAAATAGCAGGATTCCCCATATTTTCAAATCATTTTCTGGATTTTCGTCTTCCCCCCACGTCCCATATTTTCCCATATTTTCCTGGGGATCGACGATTCATTGTGTCTGTGTGTTTCTTTCCCCTCCTGATTTTGGGAGGAGCGTAGAGGGGCAGTCTGCGAAGGAGGAAACGCCCAGCCGCATCGTCAACATCGGCTCCGCCACCGGGAGGCACATTGGGAAGCTGCAGCGGCGCACGGGTACAGCACGCAGGAGCTTGACCACAGAAAACCTTCCATGAGAAACCCAACCCTGAGACCCCAGGGCGTCCCTTGATTGTCAGTGTGGGAACGTCACGCTTTCCGTCGCAGAACCAACTCAAAAAACCCAGGGCCCCTGGAGGCAAGCAGGATGTTTCTTGGCATGGGTTTCTACTGTAGACGCGATGGCGACGAACAGCCCGCGCGTCGAATGCCAGGGGCACCCACATCGGATTTTGGGGCCACTTGGATTGGCAGGATTTGGGCCAAATCCTGCCAAAACCACTTAGAAAAAATGCGTGACGACGGCTTGTTCCTGGACCACCGGGGCCCATTTCTCACCATGAGCGCGTGCCAGAAGAGATCGCAGATTGATCCGCAGGCGGCGCATCCAAGGAGTACGTCCATAGGTGCGAGAAGACGGGTCGGACGCCCTGCAAACTCTGCTGGTGAGATCCGCAAGATGATTGCCAGCAGCCAGCCCAATGCCGCAGTTGAAACCGGAGCCCACGCAACCAGACCTCCACGGGGGAGATATTCCATCAGCAGGGTCCCCGTGTCTAACCTTTCCTGCCAAGTCCGGGCATCAGCGACAGGCGCAAGACGCGGGTGGGCTGCCGCGGCGTCCGAAAGATCCGACACTGAGGAGAGCTGCGCGGCAACCAACTCGTGCTCGGATGCGCTGGCGTGTTGATCAAGAATGTGAGGACCGTCTCTCCCAACTCCTTCCACCGGTCCAGCCCTGATCCCTTGTCCCGTCGGCGCCGCGCTAGGATCAGGGGCAGGTGTTCGTGACATTGGCGGTGAGCCACCACCAAACAATCCAAAGCATCCTGAGCTGCAACCCAGTCTTCCTCCTGCCAGCTGGCATGCCTCGAGAGAGAAAGAAGGGCGCGAGCTCGATGCCATCGGCGGTCTATATCAACCTCGGCAGGCGCTGGGCCTTCCATCGTCACCAGCCCAAGCCGACCTTCTGCAACCCCAATGTTGCCGATCCGGCGAGCCACGTGCAGATAATCTGTCGAAGCGTGTGTGTGTGGTGTGCGGCTGGCAGCCGACGCCCCAACCGCGCAGTGAAGAGCTGGCGCGCGGATCGTCCTGGACACGCTAGGCTGGGCCTGCCCCCCTCCCCCCTGCTCCCCCACTTGCCCCTGTGCAGTGCCTCCTGCCCTCCCCCACCCGTGGCCTCCCCCCTCAGCTGGCTCCCTCCCCCCCTCCGCGCCTCTCCTTGCCCCGGTGGCGCGTGGCGCCTCCTCGCTTCCCCCTCGCCTCTCCCCCCTCTCCGGCGGCCGGCCCGCTGTCCCTCGCGCCCGCTCCTCGCTCCTCGCTGCCCCCTCCGCTCTGCTCTGCTCGGCCCCCCGTTGGCCCTTGGCCTTCTCGGCGCCTTGGCCAACTCTTTGGCCTCGGCTGCACCGTGCGAGTTCCCGCCTTCTCTCCTGGTTGCCGAGGCCTGCTCCCGCGGGACTTCCGAGCGACTTGATTGAGGCCAGGCCCAGTCCGCGACGCCCAGCAACGTGTGCGCGCGCGTGTGTGTGTGTGTGTGTGTGTGCGTGTGTGAGTGTGTGTGTGTGCGTTTGAATATGCGTGTGTGTGTGTGAATGGTTGTGTCTTGTCTGTGTGTGTGTGTTGTGTGTGTGCGTATTATGTGTGCGTGCCAAATCTGCAAGGGGTGGACGTCGGGTGCCAGGCAACGCGCCGAACCTAACACCGTATAACTCGTCGCGCGGGTTGGTGTTAAGCGCCCCTCGCCATTCCCCGACCAATGTTTGCAAGCGTTAGTCCCAAACATTACATGGCTGCACTGTGGACGTGTAAGCTAATGTGGTGCAAACGTGGGGTGTAAACCACCTTACGTAACTTGTTCTGCGCAGCCCGTATGTCCGCGATTGGGGTGACCACTTGGCACTGACTGGCGCATCTCGGCGGCTGCGTTGACGAGCGCAAGCTCGCGCACGGAGCGACCTGCTGGAAACTCGCGCACGAAACTCGCGCACCGAACTTTGGAACAACCGACGCGGCTGCGATGGCGCTTACCGGTTGGAGCTTTCCAGCACGTCTCAAAGGTCGCGCTGGCGCGTGGGCACTTCAGTGTGGGCCAATGGCTTGGACGGCCGTGGTATCATGATGACGTCGACAACGGCGGCAGCGATGATGAGAAGATCAATGGCGGTAGCGACGATGAAGGTGATTACGGCAGGGTCGATGACGGCGCCGATGCTGGTGGCGATGACGATGACGATGGCGATGATGATTAGGCTGCTGTTGATGATGGTGATGAGAAGGAACAGGACGATTATAATGATGGTGATGACGATGATGATGATGATGATGCTGATGATGACTATGCTGCTGCTAATGATGGTGATGGTGATGATGATGCTGATTATGCTGCTACTGCTGCTGATGATGAGGGTGATGAATATGATGATATCCTCGTGTCGGTGATGACGTGTTTGGGGGACCGATGTGAATCCCTGAGTGCAAGCCCTGTTTGGGAAATTCGCCCCCAAGAGCACTCCATTACCCGGGAGGGCCCCAAAGGCCTCCCAAAGGCCCCAATAGGCCTTGAAGAGCGGCCAAGAGTCATCCCAAGATATCCCAAGACGCATCCAAGACGACTCTGACTCACAACCCATGCGCGGTGACTGCCGAAAGGATATTGGCGTGCCGAGTGATAACCCGTTGAGCCTTTCCAGCAAATTCCCAATCGGCTCTCGGCCGATCCGGCCGGCCACGCGGAATATTTCTTTCAACAGCTTCTCCGCCCAAGATTGTCCCAACATGCCGCCAAGAACGCCAAGTTGGCCTTCAAGACGGTCCACGATGGCCTCCAAGAAGGCAAAGATGGCTCCAATATGGCCCAAAATGGCAACAAGGTGACCCAAGAGGCCCGGAAGACGCCCCAAGAGGGTTCCAAGAGGCCCTCTAGGAGAGCCCCGAGAAACCCAAACCATTGGTTTTCTTGACGCGTTTGAATCATTTTCGCGTCCTCGCCTTCCCGGGCATCCGACAGCCGAAAACGGCCCCAGAGGCCTCCAAGATGGCTCCAAGACGGCCCCAGGAGTCCCCGAGATCGCTTCAAGACGGGCCAAGAGTCTCTGCGATGACATCAAGACGGCCCAACATGCCACCAAGATGGCCCTAAGAGGACCCCAAACACGTCCAAGAGCGCCCATAAGCGCCGAACAATTGACAGACCCCCGATGGCCCAGAGTGGCCCCCAAGACGGCCTCCGAAAGCCAATCGGCCACTTGGCCCGTGAGAGGCCTCTGGAGGCCCCGAAGAGGCCCCACATAGGCTTCCAGAGAGCCCGAAGGCGACCCTCTTCTTCCTCGTCCTCTTCCTCCTCCTCCTCTGCCTCCTCCTCCTCTCTTTTCCTTCCCACGGCTGGGGGAAAATCTATCGCAATAGCATGGCCAACCTTTTGCTGCAACGTTTAGCCACATCGGCATTTCACGACATGCAGGGGTCGGCGGTGATTCGCCGTAGGCGTCCTCGGTATATTGTACCTATTATGTACACCAGCCGAAACTGTTTTTTTGGCAATCGGGGCAAACATAAACATATAGACAGGCAGGTTGGCCGATACATTGTTAACCAGACTCGAAGCCATCGCTAACTGAACACCGCGTCCGAATTGAACACGTGTCGATCTCACCCACATGCTGGTTTCACATGTATGCAAATCCACACTCCTGCCATGCGCCATCCGCCCAGCCTCGTTCCGCGCGCTTGTCGGCGATGCCCAACGACTCGAGGTACGCCATCCGCTCCGATGGGTTCCAATCCTCGGCCATGGGGGGAAGGGGGCTCTCCGATCGCGTGCTAAACCGACTGATCAGGAATCATATTGGAGCGAAGGTCGCAACCACATAACACAACAGATGGCAAATTCCCTCACATCCTGGGTGTGATGCTTTCGTTTTCTACGTGGCACGCCACGAGCAGTGATACCGTGCTGTCAACCGCACGTGCATAATTGTATGGTGGTCGGTATACAACAAATGAGGGCACGTAGCTACACATATTTATCTTGACAGCGACCCCATGGTAGAACTTCACTACGACTTGCCCATGCTGCGTTTCGCTGAGGACGGCCCTGGCGGCACAAGGGATATCGTAGCCGACTGTGTGGTTAGGTGCAACGTTCACTTGTATATTTAAGGATCGGCCTCTCTGCGTCCCCTCCTCATGCGTACTGAACCTTACGCTGGCTTGACATTTAATGCACCGTACCTGCCACGCCGACCCAACAAGCAACCACGTCATATGTATGACATCTCCGTGCCACTAGCAGTGGGCGTAAGACCATGAGAATTACATAGTGCACATGTGCTGCCAACTCGCTCAATCTGGCGATAATCGCGGAATTAACCCATACCGTTGATGTGAATTGCCAAGTGGTGGCACGGCGTGTTGCGCGATTTGCAGACAACCAGAGCCGTGCAACAACGTATGGCACGTATGATTGTGCGGTGAGGCTGCTTAAGCACAGTTGGCAATGTTTGAGTGGAGCGACCGCCGCACATGTATAAGCTGTTGGGACATCGCAACAACACCAAATAACAGATGTATAAGACACGCTGCAAAGCAACCGCTTTCTGCATAACGCAAAATCGCATATCCGTATCAATAGTGGGTTGGTCGCCAACGGGATAATGCACGCACTGCAAGTGCTGTGAACATTCATTAAAGCAATAACCGACACATGAAGCCGTTCGGGCGCTGCAAATAGACCATTTGGTTCGAAACCGTTCAAAACGAAACGTTGGACAGAATTGGGTAAAGCACTGGAGTTGGAATCAAGCTGGCAACATTTCGTGATACAACCAAGGTATTGCTAGGATGAGCCTTGGATTCGGGGCAGTGGCCTGTTTTCCGTTTATCTGTTGATTCTGCGGTCGACATGGGCGGAGCTTGCAGGGTGGGCCTGATTTGTTTTGCCCAAAAGAAAAACTCTTCAGCTTCTTCGTGCCAGTGGTCCTCGGCGGTTCGGTGGGAACGCCTGCAGCCGTCCTGCAACCGTTGCCTCAAAGGCCAATCATCCCCTCCTGATCCGCGGTAGGTCTTGCGAAGGCCACCGGTTTGCGTGCTGGTTGGCGCGAGGCGCCTAGGAGACACCGCCCTCTTTTGAGGGTGCCCCTCGTTCGGGGCCGTAGCTGTTTTGGCTTACCTGCGGGTGCTGCGATCTCGCGCGTACGGTGGTACCCTTGGTATACCATCACGAGCGCGTGGATGTACATATATTCGGTCCTGTGTATCACTCCCCCAACCGCGCCAGCCTTCTCCTGTACTTCGCCACGCGGCTTGTGTGATTAAAACTAGTCAGTGCATACACACATATGTTCACACAATCTGTATTTTTCAAGTGCCCAATGCTCCGATTTCCCCCCATGCACACCCCTCGTGGAGTCCAAACGGGAAAATGCAGACTGGCGACAGGAGCTCTCGACGGACCTAAGACAAGCGACTGCCAACTCGATTCATTTTCATTATCGGGTCCATTACTTAAGGCTTGCTAGACGGAATAATCAGACAATAAAAATGAGGCCACATACGGAACTGCGCCAGACGTACCGCCAGTACATCTAATCCACAGTGAAAAAGCTGACGGTAGATGCGTTTGGTGGTCGCTGGCTCCTGAGGGAATGTAGATTAATTATGTAATATCCTGCGGGGTTGCCACTACGGCCCGCTTCCTGAATACGGCTTACGTATTCGTACGGCATTGGGTGAGAGAGACCCTCGCTGGGCCCTGCTAGTGATACTGATGCGCAGCTCGATCCACGATTTTACGGGGCCTAAGGTGACGCACCGATACTTGTGGGACTCGTCACTGGCGTCACTGGGGGAACAAACTGGCTGACAGTGCAACGTGCAATGAACGCATCTGCGTGTACCCTCTTGGGTGTCGAAGGAGAGGAGAGCGGAGAGGAGTATAGGCAAGCTAGGTGTGCTCGCGCCATGTCTGACATCCCACCCCTCCCACCAATCCCTTCCTGTTGCGCTGCTTTTTATCTATCCGCCGACGCATGGAACGCCGAATGGGACCTCATCGTTTTATGAACAATCAGAACAATGGGGGCTGCGTGCATTGGAGGAGGGGGTGGCAGATAAGCAGGAGGATGAGCAGGAGGAAAAGGAGCATAAGGAAGGAGAAGGACAATGACGAACACCAGCAGCAGCAGCAGGAAAGGACAGAGCGGGAGGAGCAGGAGGACGGGGAAGGCGGAGGATGGGGCAATGAGGGGGGCGGCAACGTTGGAAAAGGGGTCCAGGAAAGTGGCCCGCGCTGGGGCGAGAGCGCCATTCGTAACGACGGGAGCAAAGCGCCGATCCGAAAATTAGGCCCGCGCAGCAGCGGGAACACCACTTTGAAACTCCGAAACTGATCGGACTGTACAATATCAAACTGAACATCACCTTGATTCAATACGGTGTGTTACAAACCAATACGCGGATCGGGCGGGATAACTTCCGGACAGACTCAAGGGAGCGAAGAGAGTAGTGTCCAAATTAAGCCAATGAAGATGGGTCGGGGAGGGGAGAGGGGGACAGGGGGGAAGGAGGGGAGGGAGAGGGAGAAAAGTGCGATGAAAGACAGGATGGGGAGGGACGGGAGGTCGGTAGTGATGGGAGGAGACGGAGAGGGAGAAACGGAAGGGACCATGACAAGGGCCAGGACGGACAGGGGGAAATGGAGGTTGAGACGTGGCGTGGGCAAGGAATTCCAACAGACGGACATGCAGGAACATAGCCAGCAAGAAGGGTCTTAAAAGCAGTGAGCCCAGGGAATCGCAGACTGGAAGTTGCGATGTGATAAGATAGTGCTCGATTTTCTGGATGTAGAGGGCCTCGGATGTGGCTGGTGCGATTATAACGCGTGTCCAGCAATGAGAAGCGATAGACAACAGACAGCTGCATGCGGAACAACAGCCGACCAGCTTTCCAAGCCTCTGGAATTCGAGACTCTGGGCGCGATGACCTTCCAGCGAGGAGCGGCCACCATGGTCCTTCGCGGACTGGCGCTTTGCGTTCTTGTCCTGGGCCGCTTGCAGACGCCAATCCCCTCCTCTGTCGCCGCTGCAGCCCTTCTCTTCGCTCGGACGGGAGCGTCTCTGCTCACTCTGACGCTTGCTGGACGCACGCAGTCGAATTAGGGCCCAAAATGACCGCCGCGGTTCTCGCGCCTCCAAACTTTAACCGCAATTATTCACGGTTGTACTTTTCCCATTTCTATGGGGAGCCCTTGAGGCATGGTGTTTGTTGGGGGGGGGAAGGGGGCGGGGACAACAGGGGGCCGTTGGGCTCACGGAGGGGTCCAGCTGCGGTGGGCCAAGGCGGGGGTCATGGGCATGGGGGACCCGGTGACTCACGCATGGACGCCTGAACGAACACGTGTGGCAGCTCTTCTCGCTAGGTTTGTGGGCAAAGAAATCGGCCCATTCTGGCTAATTGCAATCTCGTTTATCGCAGTGTCCTGGATCTTGGCTGAAACTAGCACATCGTAAGACATCATTGGCGGGCGGTCCCGACTGGCAAAGACACGTCAGACTTGCTTAGGCAACGCCTTGTGTGAACACCCTCCTTCCATGCTGTGGTGCCGGAGAAGGGCCGTTCTCGTAAACGAGCACGGGGAACTTCTATGAACGTCCACCGGTGGGATCTGATATACTCGACATCAAAGATTTGTCAATCTTCCGTGCTCGATCACTCTGCAGCCTTTCCGCATCGATGACGACATGTGGCCTAAGAGTGGCGTGAGAGGGGCTACGCCTGACCAGGAACGGCTCATGAATCCACAGCGGAAGATGGCATGCCCTAGGCCGCACTCGAGACACGCTTCCTTCTCCTCCCCCCCTGTTCCCATGCCTTGCTGCTTGTGAGTAGCTTTAAGTCGGGCACGTCCCTCTACAGGGGGATTTGGGGCGAACATCAAACATACCCAAAACATGCCCCCGAAATGCGCACTGCGTGGGGGGGGGGATGGGATGCGATAGGCGGGGGGGCGAAGAGACGAGCACCGTCCGTGCACCTTCTGGGCCCCGTTCGGGCCCCGAAGGCGCGCGAAAGGTGCACCTTTCTCCCCCCCCTCCGCGTACGGTCAAGTGGACACGTTCAGCGGGTGGTTTGTGGCCTTATCGCTGGCAGGAGCCCAACGTTTCTTTTGCTGCTGGCACACGTTCAGCTGCTTCTCGGCCGGCTCAGTGCTGCGCCGTTAATTATCTGCTTCCCGTGCGCTGCTGTCCCAGCCTCGTTCTTACCGCCCTCTGGACTTTTCCTTGCGGGCCGCGAATCAAAAAGCACGGTCAAGTGGCAACAGATGGAGTGCACATGGAGACTTCGAAGTGCACTCTGAACGGGGGTCGTATAGAGTGCATGTGTCGAAAAACGTGTGCATTCTGTACGCGTTTTTTATGGGCGTGTAGCGTGCACGTCCGAAGTGGTAAAACAAATATCTTGCCCCCCCCACTTTCGAGGCCTGCTGGGCCCCCCAGCAGGCCTCGGAAGTGGCGACGGTTTCGCAGATCGCAGCCCCCCAGGGATGGCGAGGTCAAAGGCAGGGGGGGAGAGAGGGACGGGGGGGGGTGGAAAGGAAGGCTCGCGCGAGCAGCGCTCTATTCAAAACGAGAACCCAACGCAGGAGGGTTGGGAACAACCCTGAACGGGGGTCGTCTAGAGTGCACGTCGAAAAACGTGTGCATTCTATACGCGTTTTTTATGGGCGTGTACCGTGCACGTCCGAAGTGATAAAACAAACATATCTTGCCCGCACACGGTAATCGCGCGGCAAACGATCGGAAATCGTCATCGCGAGTGGCAATAATCGCATCGAGGTGAAATCGCGAGCGCTTTCCTGAATCTCTCATCCCTCCTCCTCCTCCTCCTCCTCCTCCTCCTCCTCCTCCTCCTCCTCCTCCTCCTCCTCCTCCTCCTCCTCCCCTCCTCCCCCGCCTCCTCCTCCTCCTCCTCCTCCTCCTCCTCCTCCTCCTCCTCCTCCTCCTCCTTTGCGGAACGCCCGAGCTGCTGATCCGCGCCGCCCCCCCCCCTGGGGCCTGATCCGACGCGGCCTCGGGCCTCGGCGGGCGCCCCCTGGAGCTGGCCTGCTGCGACGCGGTGGTGGTGGCTCTGGAGCCGCCGGTGCCTGCGGCCTCCTCCTCCTCCTCCTCCTCCTCCTCCTCCTCCTCCTGGGGGGGCGACGGGGCGAGGCGGGAGAGCGGCGGTGAGGGAATGCAGGCAAGCAGGGCGCGCTCGCGCCACAACCGAAAGGAAAGCAAGCCCCTCGCGTCCACGCCTTCCCGTGCCGCTGATTTCTTCTCCGTCCGCCCCGGCGCGCGTCAGGGCGGGCCAGGGTTTCTCCAGAGAGGGCCCGGGCTGGGCACGCGGTGTGCTCGGGTAGCGCTCGTAGACGAGCGCGTTCCACTACTCGCAAAGTAACTACTCGCAAATGGCCTGGATCCCCCGCGGAGGATCTACGGTAAAGTACGGCAAAGTGGACATGTGTTTTTCGGACTTTTGCGAGTAGGCACTTTGCGAGTAGTGGAACGCGCTCGGGTAGCGCTCGGGTATGCGCCTGGGCACGCTGCGCCTGGTGAGGCGCCACCTTCACACGAGCTGTCCTTGTACATTTCAGGGTGCAGCGCGTGTGCATCGTACGCAAGCGCAGAGTACAGTGTCTTGCGACTGGTCCTGCTGGGCAGGCCTTCAGTGCCTGCAGGATGAATAGTCGGCGCTCCTGCCCCCTTGCGCCCGGACCCCAAGGATGTCGCATGATAAGGCTTGGGTACAACTCGCTTTAAGGCGGGCCTGTCCAGTACAGGGGGATTTTCGACGAAACATAAAAATACCCCAAACATATTCCAAAATGGTCGAAAAATCATGAAAAATAGTCCCCTGACTATTTTTTACCATTTTGGAATATTCCTCCTGTAGAGGGACGTGCCCGACTTAAAACTAGCTGTGGACAGCGAGGAAGAGAATGAGAAGGAGCAGATGCAGCAACAACATCATGCAAGAGGAAGGTCAGGAAGAGAAAGGCCTCGGATGGTTCGCCAGAGCTCGCCCTCGCTGGCTCTGGGGGTGGTGCCGAGAACGGCTTAGCAAAGAACAGCTCCGGCCCCAGGCGTTCGCCTTCGTTCCCGCGCCGTCCCTGGCCGAAACCGCAGCCACTCCCGGGGCAAGCGTGAGTCACACCTTTCGGGCAAAGCACAACCACAAGAAAAGATACCTCGGACATCTCAACCGCGGCCCCCAGCCGATTGTGAATGCTCTTCCTGCGCCTGCTCCTGAAAGTGTTGCTGCACATCCTCCTCTTTTTCCTCGTTCCTGCAACCTCGTCAAACCGCTCATGGCGCAAATCAGCAAGAGCAAGACAACATCACCAGAGCAAATTGTGGGCTACACCGGGGCTCCCAACCACTTCCACTTCCCAAAGAAAGACTGCACCAAAACCCACCGCCATCCGAACAACGATACGTTACCAAACAACTCTGCCGTGTTCAATCGATTTCGCTCTGGCATGCGGCAGTATCCCCGCGTACCTCGCCTCCTCATCGAACGGGGAGGGAGTCGGACGGATTGAAAGGAATCGAGACGCTCGCGGAGGCGCCTGGCCGCCTGCCGGATGTGAGCCGCTGGGGGCCGTGCTCTTTTTTAAAAATCTGTCCAGCTCTTACACCTCCTCCTCCTCCTCCTCCTCTTTCCTCCCTGCTGTCCCGCATCAAGACGACGTGCGCGACTGTCGGCGAAGGCTGTGCTCAACTCGTAAAAACTTGCTGTGGCAGCCCCGAACGGAGCAGTAATCGCTGGGCCTCTCATCTGCGGCACGATTGTGGCATACCAATTATGTTGTTGAGAACCTGCTCACATGGGCTATCCACTTGAGATCCGGGTCTGGTAAACCCAATCGTGTCCAACATGCAACACAGGGATACACTATGATAGAACACTCTGCCCTGGCACTCAAATTACTAAAAACAAGTTGCCCAGTATGTTCACTCTGCTCATCTACGATGGTTCCTGGTCCACAGAATTACAGCATGCATTTCACCAGGCAAAGCCATTCGAGACGAGACCAGCTGCAACCCCAACATCTGAACTCACCTGTATGAGGACTGAAGCAAACAGCGCATGCTGCGATCGCGATGTGTGCTGGCATGTCGCCACTTTGGCATTGCATCTTCCACGTTCGCCGACTTGTTTGTTTGACTATATGTCTTCCAACTGATATCGAGCACTGCCTGGCAATTGTGGTAGTCACGCCCATGAAACAAAAAGCGTTTGCATGCAACGGTGACGGTTGTGGTTGTGGGGTCACCGTCGTGCCGAGTGGCGTGGCCACCGGGTAGGAAGGGACGGGCAACACACACCGAAGTCAATGAATTAGCGTCAACACTGAACTGGCTCGGTTTCCTTTCAATTTAGCTCCGTCTCATTCATCTCTCGCTTGATCTGCCCACCTCTCCTCCCTTATCCTCCGCTTCTCTCCTCTCCTCCCGTTTTCCCCTCCCCCCTCCTCTCTTCTCTCCTCTCCTGCCATCACCTCTCTTCTCTTCACCACTCTCCACTGCTCTCTGCTCTCCTCCCTCTCCCCCCTCACAGTGCTGCCTGCGTTCTACTATCTGCCCTCCCCTGCATCACATTGCGCTCCTCATCCCCTCCTTACCGAGCACTCACACATGGACACACACTCTCTCTTTCTCTCTCTCTTTCTCTCTTCCCCCCAGGGGCATCTAGGAGGGCATTGCGCCCTCTCCGTACGCTGTCTTTTTTGAAAACAAGATTTCAGGCATTCAGCATTTAGCGTTCCTGTACATCGGGATGTTCTCGGTGTTTCACAATGATGCTCCCGCTGCAGCGTGCGCCTCGTCTCGGGATCCGCGCTCTGCTCCCGGCGCTCAGCATGGCGCTCTCGCTCCGGCGCGGGCCACTTCTCTTGATCCGAACCCTTCCTCATCGTTGTCTCCCCGCTCCTCTCCCCTCCTCCTCCTCCTCCTCCTCCTCCTCCTTCTCCTCCTCCTCCTCCTCATCCGTCTCCTGCTGCTCCTCCTCCTGCTCCTCCTCCTCCTCCTCCTGCGCTTCCTCCTGCTCCTCCCGCAGCTGGCACTCTGGCTCCCGCTGCGGCTCCTCCCCGCCCCCCTGCTTCCTCGTCCTCCCCTACACGTCGCTCATTTTTTAAAAATCGTGGTCACTTCTAATTGCGCTCGTTTCTGATTGTTCCTGGCCCCCTAGTGGCCAGGAAGAGGCCCAGGATAGAACAATTAGAGATTGAAGGATCTTGGCACCCCCAAAAAATCAAAGAACTCGAGGAAATAGGCTTGAACAATGTGCATCCCCTCCAATGTACACGGCTCTCTTGTTCTGCTTGCGCGTAATGCGATGGTGTCCTTTTCTTGAAGGCTCCAGGGTCGCCTGTGACACCCGTCGGCGGATAGAGACGACTTAGCGCAAGGGGAAGGGATGGGCGGGAGGGGTAGGATGTCGGATGCTGCGCGGGGCCACCTTGCCTGACGCATCCCCTCTCTTACCACCTTTCCCTTTTCTCATGGCCACTACAGTCGGACTTGATTGGAGAGGACACGCGAGAGGACACAAGACCCTTCCGAGGGCCACGTTGCCACAGAAATGCAGGAGGTATGGGTCGCAAGACACAGGACACGAGGGTACCCTTGATCTGGCAGGGTCGACCTACTAATCCGGGCCGCATGTACCTCCCGTTGTGAGGTTGGCTTCAACGGCAATTCTGTTCTTCAGTGAACTGTGAGGAAGTCTTGCGCGGCAACTGCGTCCCCGACTCACTTGGGACGAACTCTGGAGCGGCAGCCGCTCTCCCGCTCTCTTGGAAGGGGGGTGGAACCAAGCAGTCACGCAAAGCATTCGATTTCTTTCTAACGGTCCGGCCGCACGTGGCATCCCACTAAGCAATTCCGCCCCAAAGGCCCCATGGACCACCTCCTCCTCCTCCTCCTCCTCCTCCTCCTCCTCCTCCTCCTCCTCCTCTTCCCCCATGGACCACCAACGGGCCGTGTGAAGCTCCAGGAACCCCGACGGGGGACCTCCGCGGGCTCTGGAGAGCCCGAGAAGCCGCATGAGGCTCCAGAACGATCCAGGTGGACCCAAGAGCCCACAGGAAGCTCCAAAAGGTGCAATAAAACTCCAACACACCATTCAGAGTCAACAAGGAGGCGCTGCGACAAGAAGCCCCAAGAGATCCGAGACAACTTCAGGCGGGTCCAGATTTGTCGCGAACCCACAACATATCCATGACATTCACGGAAGCTCCAGGAGTTCCTGGGATGCCCGACGTTTTTTTGAGGGGGGCCCTAATGGGGGAGCTCCCCTTCTTTGACAGATCTCCGCCAAAATGGCCACAATATTGCCGCCGAGGCACCCAAGGTGCCCCAAGAGGGCCGAGGTGTCCAGGAGGCCCCAAGAGCCCCCCAAGAGGCCCCCAAGAGGCTCCCACGAGAACCCCCAGAAGCCCTAAGAAACCCCCCAGAGGCACCCAAGTCGCCCCAAGAGGCCTCGGCGATAATGCCAACATGATTCTGCTAAGGTTTTGGCCACAGTTTGGCTTCTTGGGGGGGGGGGCTCTGATTAAGAAACACTCCTTTTTTGATCGATCTCCTCCAAAATGGTTCCAAGATGGCAAGCCGGCTCCCAAGGGTGCCCCAAGAAGGCCCCAACAGATGCCCAGGAGCCCCGCAAGAGGCCCCCAAGATGCCCCCACGAGGCCCCCAAGAGGCTCCCAAGATTCCCCAAGAGGCCCGTCAGAGGCACCCAAGGCGTCGCAGGAGGCCTCGGCGGAGATGCAACAACCATTCATGCTACTAAGGCTTGGCCACCTGTTGGCCTCCCGGGGGGGGGCCCTGGGCCCCCCTCCCGAGGCTCCCACGGGCCCACAAGAGGGCCCACAGAACGATGACGACGAGGACGAGGACGAGGACGAGGCCCACGAGGATGACGACGAGGACTGTCCTCGATCTCTCCCCCAAGAAGGCCCACAGATGCCCCCTCCCCCCTCCCGAGGCTCCCACGGGTGCCCCACGGGTGCCCCAGGAGGGCCTCAAAAGGTGCCCCGGCGGCCCCAGGAGCTCCGCGAGAGGCCCCCAGAGATGCCTTCGAGAGAAGTCGCGTCGAGGCTGGGCCCGCGCTAACGCAGGGCACGACCGTCGACTGGCGCAGGCCCAGGCCAGGCGGTGGGGTGAGCGCGAGTCGGCGTCGCGGAGCCGAGCAACCTCGCCGACGCCTCCCCCAAGCCTGGCGCTGGGTCAGCCCAGCCTCGACACAACTAGCAGCCACTGCGACGCCAGTGCGCTCGCGCAGCAGGGTCGGGCGGGTGGGGAAAAACGCATCCCGCCAGCGGGACGGCCACGCGTGAGACAAATCCCATTCACCTGCGACGAGAACGCGCTCGCGGGCGCGCAGGGTGGGGATCCGCCTCAGCCGTGAATAGCCGTCCCGCAGCATTAGAGACAAGCAAGAAGATAGCCAATAGGGGCCACGACGCTCGCGCGACTTCTCCCCGCGCTCAAATGCTGCCCAGAGCGCCCATGAGAAGTCGCGTCGAGGCTGGGCCCGCGCTAACGCAGGGCACAACCGTCGACTGGCGCAGGCCCAGGCCAGGCGGTGGGGTGAGCGCGAGTCGGCGTCGCGGAGCCGAGCAACCTCGCCGACGCCTCCCGATGCATGCTCGGCGGAACGACGCCCAAGCGCGCTCTAAGCAGACCGCAGATGCCTGGTCTGCTTGACTCACGGCCTGGGCGGCCCCTGCACCGCTTCCGCGGCGATCGGCGCGTCCTGCGCGCCACGCGCCGCCGCGGAGCCCCGACCCCGATGCCTGCAGGGCGGCGCCTCGTCGGAATCGGAGTGCGCGATCTCGGCTTCTGCCGCGAGCACCATGGCTCGCGTCTTTGCGGCCGGGTACCTGTGCGCCGCCAAGCGCCGCGCCCTCGCGACCCAGGCAGCGCGGCCGTGCCCCCTGTCGGAATGGAGTGCCCGAACGCGGCCACAGATCTCCAACCCCCTTCGAAGAACAGCGCTGCTGGCCCCCCGGTGCGGAGTGCCTGTGTGCGAGAGACACGAACTGCGCGCGGGCCCTGGGTAGGCAGGGGACGGCAAGGGGAGCCCATGCCTGGTCGGCCCGGCCGCGCCTGAAGCAATGCGTCCCCCACTCCAATGCCCTATGGAGCCCGAGGTGGGCAGCGGCGAGCTCGACGCAAACCAGCCCGTCCACGTAAGAGACGCCCGGCAGGAGCTGCTCGCCGGGCCGGAGCGAATGCCGAATGATGCAAACCGCACACAATCGTTTGCCCTGGAGCTGGCATACGCATGCCCTCCAGACCTCGCGATGCGGGGAGCCCGGGGCGCGCCCCGCCGCGCGCGCGCGCTCGGCCCGCCGGGTCGGGAGCCACTCTCCCCTTCCGCTGGCGGAATTGCACCTGCACCTGGTGCTTTCCTTCGTCTACGTGGAGCGAGACGGCGCTATGCCCAGGCGCATTCAGCCTCACTACTTCGGAGCCGAAGCGCAAGCAGAACTGCCAGCATATGACGAAAGCGTCGGCCATATCGCCGCGTCCGATCTGCCAAACGCCAGGCCCGCGGGCCGGCACGCACGGCAGGCCGCTTAGTTCGA